GAAAAGTGGATTTTGAGTAAACGCACTCAAACAGCAAAACTCTATGAATGAAAAAGATTCAAAATGAGAAAATATGAATAACGGAAGAAACGGCGTCGAAAACCGAGTCCCGAACAGAAAGTTATGCCCTGAACAAGTTCGGCGGCAACCGGGGCTAGAAATCCCTAAAACTGGAGAAAACGACCAGAAGGAAATTTTAAGAGTTCGCGACTCGATGAAATGTGAAAATGAATCCCGTACGAGGATCCAGGCTCCAGAAGAGATATTTTGCAATAACTTTCGTTAATTGCACGATGGCCCCTACAAAAAGGGTTAACTGCGAAACTGCCCAGAATGAAAATATCTTCTTAGATATCCCTGAAATAAAATATTTTCAAAAGATATTTATGAAAAACACCTCAAGAAATGAAAAAGATTCTGAAGAATTGTGCATCCATACCCCTATGGGCACCGGGAGCAACCAGAGTACTCTCTTGCAAAAGTAAAGATACGTATTTCGAGGAAACCACTGAAGATGAAGGCATGTGAAGTCAAAAACCAACTCTGAGCATGAGAAGTGAGGTTGTGCCAATAATGTGACAAACGGGGAAAAGACATAATAGGGAAAAAAACGAAAGGCGCATAGTGTCAAAAAAGTGAAAATGCAGAAATGACTCGATCCTCAAAGAAAGTGGTCAATCTACGGAAAAGAGTCTCGGAAACCATTTCCGAGCACTCGAGATGACACTAAGCGACAAGGAACAGAGCTCAGAAAAGAAAATTAAACAGAAAAAATTTATCTGTAAAATTTCAGGAAAAAGGAAAGGGAGGTAAATGACCGGGTCGTTACAATGAAATTATTTTATTGAATTTACCACTATAGCCTTTCACATTTAAAAGAAAAATATATAAGTAATAAGTATTAAGACAAGTATAAAAATTGTGCTGACATCACTCCAGGTAAGGTTATAATTTGAATCCTTAAAAAAGGTTAAGGAGAATAAAAAAATTCCCTAGCTAGGACTCATACATAAAAAGTAAGGGCAAAATGGGTGATATAATAAAAGTTTCATTAAACTTGGTAACATTTTCCTCCTATTTGCCCCCATTTTTGGGAAGGTAACTAAATTATTCAACATAACTAATTTGTACCCCTAAAACCAGGGATTGCAAAACACCCTGCATCCTTTATTATAATATTACAATTATAATTTATTTTACATAAAAAATATTAAGTATATGTAATGACCCGGTCATTTTCTTCCTTATCCTTTTTCCTCAAATTTTGTGGATAAATTTTTTTTCCAATGTCTTTTCTTTTCTGTGGATGGTTTTTCGTCACTTAGTGTCGTCTTGAGTGCTAGGAAATGGTTTCTGAGACTCTTTTCCGTAGATTGACAACTTCATTTGAGGACTGAGTCATTTCCAAAATTTTCGTTTTTCGATACTATTCACTTTTTGTCTTTATTCCTATTTCGTCCTTTTCCCTATTTCGTCTTTTCCCCGTCTATCACTTCGTTGGCAAAACCTCACTTCTTGTGCTCGGAATTGGTTTTTGACTTCACGTATCTTTATCTTAAGTGGTTTCCACGAAAAAAGTATCTCTTAGAAGTCCCTTCGTACTACCATGTTGTCTTTTTTCTGTACCTTAATTTGATACATGATTATCTTGGAGTTCTTTTGGGGGTTGTTTTTGGATCGGTATGATGGTTCATCAAGAGAAATGCTTATGGTTGTTGTCTTCCGTTCCTTTGTCTGGCGTTGGGTTCTGTGAGTGACCTTTGACTTGTCGTGTGGCCGTGCGGTCATTTTTCTTTTGAGAGGTTGTCCTGTCGTAAGTACATGGGTGCGAATGACATTGGTTTGCGTCTTGTCTTCTAGTTTTGGAATTGCTCTCGTAGCATGTCATAGGGTACTCGGAGATGTACTCAGTAGTTATCCTAATTTCGCCTTTTGTTTTGTTGGGGCTGGATTTCGGGGACAAAATCCCTTTAAGGTGGGAAGGTTGTAATGACCCGGTCATTTTCTTCCTTTTTATTTTTCCTCAAATTTTTCGGATAAATTTTTTTTCCGTTGTCTTTTCTTTTCTGAGGATGGTTTTTCGTCACTTAGTGTCGTCTTGAGTGCTCGGAAATGGTTTCTGAGACTCATTTCCGTGGATTGACAACTTCCTTTGAGGACCGAGTCATTTCCACAATTTTTGTTTTTCGACACTATTCATTTTTTGTCCTTATTCCTATTTCGTCCTTTTTCCTATTTCATCTTTTCTCTGTTTGTCAGTTTGTTGGCAAAACCTCACTTCTTGTGCTCGGAGTTGGTTTTTGACTTCACGTATCTTTATCGTAAGTGGTTTCCACGAAATACGTATCTTTACTTTTGTAGGAAAGTATTCTGGTTACTCCCGGTGTCCATAGGGGCACGGATGCATAATTCTTTGAAATTAATTTCTTTTCTTGGGGTGTTTTTCGTAAATATCTTTTGAAGATATTTTATTTCAGGGGTATCTAAGAAAATATCTTTTAGAAGATATTTTCATTCTGGGGCAGTTTTGCAGTTAACCCTTTTTGTGGGGCCCTTGTGCAATTAATGAAAGTTGTTGCAAATTATCTTGTTTTGAGCCTGGATCCTCGTATATGATTCATTTTCACTTTTTGTCAAGTTGTAAACTCTTACAAGTCCCTTCTGGTCGATGTTTCCAATTTCAGGATTTCTGGCCCTAGTTTGCGCCAAACTTGTTTGGGGCATAACTTTCTGCTCGAGACTCAGTTTTTGACGCCGTTTCTTCCGTTATTCTTATTTTCTCATTTTAAATCTTTTTTATTCATAGAGTTTCATCATTTGGGTGCGTCTGCTCAAATTTCACTTTTCCGGACACGGAGGGGCCTTTTCGGGGCACTTTTTGAGATTTTTATAAAAGGGGGATGAGATATTTTATTTTTTCATTTTCCCCACTCTCTTGCACGACCTGAAGCTTCCATGGCAGCCCAAGGGAAGCTGCTACCTTCTCTCTCGTCATTTAAACTTCATTTCTTTGTCAGAACATAGTAGAGCCTTTGCGTTTTGTGTTTGTGTTGACTACGCACTTCTTTCACCCTTATTAGAACTCATTTCTGGTTAAATTTTGAGTTTGGTTTTGAAGTCAAGTTGTGATTTTCATGGGTCCTCTTTGGAGTTTATCGTTCATGGCGTTGTCCCCGACGAAACCCCGAAGCGTTGTCGGATTCGGAGCCGTTTCGTTTTGATGGCTTTTGAGATTTTCATCTCAAATTGAGGTGGGGGGTGTCTTAGGTTTATATTATTGTTGTATTGATTGTTTTATAAGCATATACAACTTGTGAGCATGCCTTGTTTAAGTTTTTATAATTTAATTTAATTATTTTCTTTGTTTAAGATTTAATTCTCATGATGCTAGGTAACTTAAAATTAAATTGTGGCATGTTAGAAATTTAGGCCTTGGTATGGTGGTTGATATATATTAAATTGGGGTTATTTGAATAAGAATTGCAAATTTTATTTAATATTTATCTTTTGCGAAAGTTTCATTCACCTAGTTCTATCAAGATTGGAATCAACTTGTAATGTGATATTAAAGTAGGCCTTGGTGAGTTCTTTAACATATATTAAATTGAGGACATTTAGATATGTTTGAAAATCTAGAGAAAAATTAATTAATGAGCTTTATTAATTTTATTTTGAGTGTGTTGGTCACTTAAATTGATATTGAAGATAATAGGTTGATAATCCCTTGAAATGTGGTCTGTTTAATCACCTTGTGAGCATGTTACTAATTTGATGTAGAGTTAGTACTTGAGACATCTTGAAATGGTAATTGGACTTAGCATGATATAGAATATCATTGACTTACATATCTTGTTTAGATATATCCTGTGTAGGTGTATAGCTTGTTAGAATATTACAATTGTTTATTTCGGAAGCTAGTTACTAAATTCGGACTTATTTAGTACTTGTGGCTTATTGTGGTAATGTGGTTCAATTATTGTAAAATATTATTGTTTTGGTGTATAAATTGCATATTGAAGGCTTAACATGTTATATACTATTTAGACTTGAATTCTAGGACATGGTTTGTGTGGATTCAACCTTATTTGTGCATGGAAGATGGCTTTATGCAATAGTGAATTTGGTATATGTTTGGTCTAACTTATTGATTTTTGTATAAGTTTTGGACTTATTGATTTTGGTAAGCTTGTAAGGACATATTTCACGTGATGGCTAGGGTTTGGCTCTAGTACGGAGACAAAAGTCTTCTAAGTCATAAGTACGCACTAGGTAGTACCTTGTGGGTCGTAATTGCCCGAAATAACTTATGCATGTGCGCACTTGGTAGTACCTTGTGGGTTATAATTACCCGGAAACACTTGCTTGGTCTAGTGACCACATGTCCTAGTCTTTCTACTTTGATTTCGCATTCAATTTCAAGTTGTTAATCATGAATTACTTGTGGCTTGAGAATGAATGCTTGCTTTGGATAGTTGAATCTTACTTAGCATACTTGAAACTGTATACTTGTTTTGTGCATTTAGATCTCATGTTGTGTATTTGAACTTGTATGTTTGCTCTGTGAGTTTAGATTTAGTATGCTTGTGCCGTGTATACTTGTTTTAGGCGTATCTGTCTTAGCTTAGTATACTTGTGTCGGTATACTTGATTTACGAGATTTTCATATAAAATGTATACTTGTGTAAATATGCTTAGACATTGCATGATTTGTCTTAATGTGGTTTAGTATACTTGGAAATGTATGCTTGTATGTTGTATAACATGTTTAATATTGTTTAGTATACTTGAGCATGTATACTTGTATGCGGTTGTTCACTTTAAATTGCATGAGTAGCTTAGGATGATCCCTGAGTCTCATTCGGCATAGACGTTAGGTGACATGAGCCTCTTTGACATGTTTCACCTTAAGGTGATATAATTGTAAAACGTTAGGTCGATGCGTGTTTATCTCCTATGAGTAGCTTTATGTTACTCACCCACGTAGTGGGGACATTTTTCAGGTACCGGGATCAAGATTCGGGATTCACATCTTGCTTGGATTATTTGTTGACTTGAAGTTCTCATTTCTTGTAAATGTTGGCTTGAAATGCCATTTATAGCTTTATATGTCAAAATGTGTAAATTTGATTCTATTTTTGTAATGTGTACATAAGTACACTCTTTACGATGTATTTGACATGTATGAGATGAGGCCATAGGCCAATGACATCTAATTTGTATCCTATGTAACTTTTAACTTCATGAAATATTATGAAAATATTGAAAAATGTCGAGTCATTGCTTCACTAAGCTTGCATCGGGTGTGGGAATTCCATTTTTATTTTTTCATAGGGTCTCATTAATCATGTATGAAGTGCCAAGGGCCAAACGGTAATTTGAAATCATTTGTTAATTTTGGTTTTCAAATTTCCCTTTTCTTGTTCAACTTTGCCTTTTTGCTCGTTGGGGGGTCGGATTTTGCATCGGTGGTATTTTTAAGCCATGGACCATTGTAGCACGTCCTAATAGGTAAGTTACGTTTGCGTACATGATCGTTTTCAAGAAAAACCTATTCCTTGGCAATTTGAGCCTCTTAGGAACTTATTTTGAGGTTTTGTTGCATAATCTGATCTAGAGGTATTCTAGACCTTTCACATCAGTTTTATTTTCTCTTTTCGACATGGTCGATTAGAAAACGTGATTTTAGGGAGGGTTTCTTCTTCGTGTTTTTCCAGAAAACATTGTCTTGGTACCGGAAATCCCTCGTGAAGTTTTAGCTTCTAGTTTTCATTTTAGCAGCTTTTTAGCTCTTTTGAACAGATTTCTTGGGAGGGCATTTTGGCCATTTTACAGTGAGTTTTTTTTGAATTCTCTCGCGAGTCATGTAGAAAACTCAATTTTTAGGGGGTTTGTGTTTTTGCAAAAAAATTCATCTAGACTTACAAATTCAGCCTCTATTCTGGATTTTTCTGAAATAAAAACCACACAGCAGCTTTATGGGTTGTTGCCAGCCATGTGTGCACCCAGTGCGCGTGCAACGTGCATGGCCGCGTGCATGGGCGTGCGCATGGGGCTGTTATTGCCCCTCGTCGGGCCGCCGCGACGTCAATTTTTGTTTTGGGCTTTTCTCCTTCGTCTGGACTCTGATTCAAGTGAATATTTTTTTGAACTTGACTAATTTTTCGCTGTCTTTCCAACGGTGTGCTCGGTTGCACCCGATTCTTCCTAGATAATTACCAGTTTACCCTTTTTTTTCTTAAGTGCTCGTTTTTTTTCGTCATGCCGTTTCTCTTTCGTCCGGACTCCGAATTATGTGATTCTTGAGTCCAACTTGATTAGTTTTTCGTTGTCCTTCCAGCGGTGTGCTCGATGGCATCCGAATTTACAGTTTTTAGAAATGACTATTTTGCCCCTGGGGGCTTATTCGTCATATTTTCGATCTTTTGCTTCCGCATTAGTTCTTGTTGAGTTCCACGACCTCATGGAAGGTCACTTTGACTTCTTAGAGTCTTGTTTTCTGTTTTCGATTCTGCATTCGGATCCGTTATCGGATCATCCTTTCGGTTCATCACTGACGCACTGGCCTAAATACCAGGGCTATCACAGGTGGTATCAGAGCTCCCAGGTTTGAATACCTTGGGACGACGGGTTTTGGTTGCATATCACATTTCTGTTGCTTTGTTTTACGCGTTAATATGCTTCATGATAACATGTTTTGGCTTGATAACATGTTTATGTACTTACGTGCTGTATGTGTTATGCTATCTGTTTAGCTTGTTTTGATTCTAATGTAAAGAGCATGACATATGATGTATGCTAGATTAGATTTGTATATGCATGACTGTGTTGCATTTTTGGCATGACACATGATTGGTCATTGAGGCATGAGTTGAGGTTGATGGTGATTGTAGTCACAGTTTCATTGTAGTTTTGGTTGTTGTTGACCTAGAGTTAACTTTGGATAGGTGGAGAGACACTTTTTGTTTAGGCTCTCGTGGGGTGAGCCATTAGGCACGACCGTAGTACTGGATTTCTTGATTTTGGGCCATGATTAGGTTTTGGAACTTTTGGGCACCTTGGGTGTTTTGGAAGGTTCCTCTGAGGTTGCAATTTTCGTGGGTGGCTACGTTGTGGGAGGGTGCATGGCACTGTCATGCTACCGTGCTGGCTAGCTACGAGCGCAGTTCGGCTGGAATCAGCTTTGGCTTTTGTTTTGATATGCGTTGTCCTTTTGATCGATGATGATGATGTTGTGTTGGGGATCAGTCATAGTGATTGATTTGGTTGTTATTGGTATGTCAATAGTTGCCGCTTTTGGGATCAAGTCAATTGATTGACGTTTGGGGTTGGTGAGAGCATTGCACCGTTAGTGTCACTTGTAGTGTCACCTTTAGATTTGGAGATGGATTGTTAGAGTTTTACCAGTGTGGTAAGGGCTCACGTTGTTTTGAGACAGGTTGTTGCCACATTTGTTTTGTCTTGAGCTATCCATTTCTTTTAGGTGGGAAGAATGTTTCCTTTTCGTGTTCGTCGTGTTGACACTTGTAGGGGGGATAGGGTTCTCACCTTTTCTTGGTCTGTGTTTGGGACTTCACAAGGAGTGAGTCTCTTCTCTTCGTTGCCTTGTGTACGGTTTGGGGTTGGTTGGTCTGTGAGGATCATTGTTGTCGTTTTGAGTCCTTGGTGAGGATTTGGTGGATTTTGGTCGACTTACTTCCATGGAGGGGGTGAAGTCTTTGACCTTATTGTCTTTCTTTCAGAGATGGGGTTGTGGTGCTCAAAGCGAACTGATTTGTGTGAGATCATTTTCGGGGACTTGTGTCCAATTGATTGAGGATTTGGTAGATTCATGAGGTGAGTTCGATACTCTTTTGAGAATGTCTTTTGGAGACTTGCTTTGGTTTTTGGAGACCTGGATGTGGTTGACTCTTAGGAGAGGTTTTGAAAGATCACTGTTGGATTTGGCTTGTTTATGGAGTTTTCTCGTCCTAGTTATGGTTAGGCGTAGTTTTGAGGAATTGTTGTTCCAGTGATTGACTGTGGATTGAAATTAAAGGATTTTGATTTAGCTTGGTGATGCCAAGCACGGTTTTGAGAGATTCATTTTGTGACTTTAGTTGTCAGGACTTGATGTGTGTATCGCTTAGTGGACTTGTATTTCGGGGATTTAGTTATCCGTTATAGGGATTTTGATCCGATGTTTGATTTCGGTGTGGTTTTATAGTTGATCTGTTTCAGGATGATATCTAGAATTTCGAGACATTGGAGTAGTTGGTTCTGTGGTATTGAGGATTTAAAGCCTTAAGCGTAGCGGTGCCTGTGACATTGTTATCAGAGCTTTGGGATTTGCTATCCCAACTCTCACAAGATGCCTGGTTTCCATAGTACTTTTGGTAATGATGATTCACGACATTGATGTCATTGGTATCGAAAGGTTTCATGGGTAGACTTAGTGGGGGACAGGTTATGAACAAGTGCCTTATACTGTCATGTTACCGTACAAAGTTTTCTATTGTGGGCGAGTGCTAGTTGCCGTCGATGCTACCTTACTGACGAGTAAGTGTGGGCGGGCACTAGGTACTATCGTTGCTACCACACATTTGAGTACGTTGTGGGCGGGTTCTGGTCGCTATTCGTACTACCATGTTGTCTTTGTTCTGTACCTTGATTTGATACGTGATTATCTTAGAGTTCTTTTGGGGGTCGTTTTTGGATCGGTATGATGGTTCATCAGGAGAAATGCTTACGGTTGTTATCTTCCATTCCTTTGTCTGGCGTTGGATTCTGTGAGTGACCTTTGACTTGTCATGTGGCCGTGCGGTCATTTTTCTTTTTAGAGGTTGTCCTGTCGTAAGCACGTAGGTGCGAATGGCATTGGTTTGCGTCTTGTCTTCTAGTTTTGGAATTGCTCTCGTAGCATGTCGTGGGGTACTTGGAGATGTACTCAGTAGTTATCTTAGTTTCGTCTTTTGTTTTGTTGGGGCTGGATTTCGGGAACGAAATCTCTTTAAGGTGGGAAGGTTGTAATGACCCGGTTATTTTCTTCCTTTTCATTTTTCCTCAAATTTTGCGGATAAATTTTTTTTTCCGTTGTCTTTTCTTTTCTGTGGATGGTTTTTCGTCACTTACTGTCGTCTTGAGTGCTCGGAAATGGTTTCTGAGACTTTTTTCCGTGGATTGACAACTTCCTTTGAGGGCCGAGTCAAATCCACAATTTTCGTTTTTCGACACTATTCACTTTTTGTCCTTATTCCTATTTCGTCCTTTTCCCTATTTCGACTTTCCCCCGTTTGTCACTTTGTTGGCAAATGCTCACTTCTTGTGCTCGGAGTTGGTTTTTGACTCCACGTATCTTTATCTTGAATGGTTTTCACGAAATACGTATCTTTACTTTTGTAGGAAGGTACTCTGGTTGCTCCCGGTGTCCATAGGGCATGGATGTATAATTCTTTGAAATTAATTTCTTTTCGTGGGGTGTTTTTTGAAAATATCGTTTGAAGATATTTTATTTCAGGGGTATCTAAGAAAATATCTTTTGGAAGATATTTTCATTCTGGGGCAGTTTTGCAGTTAACCCTTTTTGTGAGGGCCATTGTGCAATTAATGAAAGTTGTTGTAAATTATCCTCTTTTGAGCCTGGATCCTTGTACAGGATTCATTTTCACTTTTCGTCGAGTCGTAAACTCTTAGAAGTCCCTTTTGGTCGATATTTTCCAGTTTCAGGGTTTCTGGCCCCGGTTTGCGCCAAACTTGTTTGGGCCATAACTTTCTACTTGGGACTCGATTTTTGACGCCGTTTCTTCCGTTATTCTTATTTTCTCATTTTGAATCTTTTTCATTCATAGAGTTTCATCATTTGAGCGCGTTTGCACAAATTTCACTGTTCCGGACCCGGCGATGCCCGTTCGGGACACTTTTTGAGATTTATATAAAAGGGGGATGAGATATTTTATTTTTTCATCTTCCTCACTCTCTTGCACGACCTGAAGCTTCCATGGCAGCCCAAGGGAGGCTGCCACCTTCTCTCTCCTCATTTAAACTTCATTTCTTTGTCAGAACATAGTAGGGCCTTTGCGTTTTGTTTTCGTGTTGACTACGCGCTTCTTTCACCCTTATTAGAACCCATTTCTGGTCAAATTTTGAGTTTGGTTTTGAAGTCAAGTTGTGATTTTCATGGGTCCTCTTTGGAGTTTATCATTCCTGGCGTTGTCCCTGACGAAACCCCGAAGCATTGTCGGATTCGGAGCCGTTTCGTTTGGATGGCTTTTGAGATTTTCATCTCAAATTGGGGTAGGGGGTGT